AACTTTAATATTCCCTATTTGCGATTTCTTTCCTTCAAATATTAAACAAATGAGAGCAAGAAATCCACTAAGTGCGTACTCTTATACGACTTCACCCTATATACCGGGTGGCCCAGAAAAAACGTTCCCAACTTTAAATCAATATTTCTCAAAAAGTGATAAAGATACAACATTGAAGCTTCGAATAGTCAATGCGGCACACATTCTGAGCAAATGGTGTGATTTTCATGGTCTTCGGTAAATTAGTTTTTAAACGGTTCGTGTTTCAAGCATGTCATGTAAAAATTACTTTTTTGCTCCGATGTTTACTAAATAATGTGAGTGAACGGGTCACTTTCACCCCACGCCCCACGGCACCGCAGCCTAGAGCCATGACTTCTACTGGCAGCTAGTCTCATTGATGGTTCGGGTCTCAGGATGACACATTCCCTCTGGCAACGACGATGGCTCTGTGACAGCGGCATCGGAAGAAGTTTCCAGTTTTCTAACCATCTTGTGGCTCAAATGCTTTCCTGGCTGACATTCCTGACAAAAGGTAGCTTTTCAACCAGTTTTTTTTGTCATCTGCTGGCAATGTTGTTTTTCATCAGCTTTTCTATGGTTTTCTGGCATAGGAACCAGTCTGCTTTAGTTTGTTTTCCTTATCCGGTCGTCTTATTGTTTGATCTACTCCGGGGGATGTCGTCCCGGTTCTCCCCATGTATTATTCGCCAATCAGCTTAACACTACCAGTGACGTCACTGGTGGACTGCCAATCGGGGCCGGCCGGCCGGCCGGGCCCGTGGAAGGCCAAACGCAGACGTTTTCAGAAAAGCGTAAGCCGTATAGATACAGTCGTGGATGGAGTTTTGCTGTAATTCGGCTATCCAAGAGTGTGTCAGGGTACCAGGACCCTGATAAAGGTCATAGTGAACCGGCATCTGATAAAACCCGCTCACGGCTTAGCAGCCGACTTCGACCCTTCGCCCTCGTAAAGCGCTCGATGGCTTGCCGGTCATCAATCCACCTGCATCTCATCTGCTTACTGCCTATATCGACCAGTTACTGCAGCCGTTTTGGAGCGGCTCACACCATTGAGTGCGCGTGGCCGACTGCCGCCCCGATGCCATCCCCGGCACTGACACCGGCGCGGCGAAGCTGACCCATGGGGGGGGGGGGGCTGCTAATTAGTTGAGCCGGAATTGGGATAGAAGCCGGTATGGGATTGGGATAGCAACTCAGCGAGACTAAGGGATTGTGTTGTGCCTTCGGTAGGCCCCCAAAATCACCGGTGTAGTGCCCTCAGGGCCGCCGGTTATGAAGCCTTTGGAGGCACTGGTGTGGGCACTCACAGGTTGAGGTACCGGTGTGAGGCCCTCAGAGGCATTGGTGCGGGGCCCCGAGGTGCCGCTGTAGGCCCTCTGAGGTGCTAGCGTGTGGCCCTCAGAGGCGCCGGTGAGGGTCCTCACAGTTGCCATTGTGGGCCTTCAGAGACACTGCAGTGTGGGGTTATTACAATCGGGTGTGGGACCCTTAGAGCTGCTTGCTCGAACCCTTTATAAGCCGACAGGGGCTCTCAGAGACCGACAAGGGGCCCTCAAGAGGTCTGCGGTGTCTTCAGTAGCCCTGTGGAGTACTCAGAGACCAGCAAGGTACTCTCAGACGCCGGTGGGGGCCCTCAGAGTCGTCGGTGTGGGGCCCTCAAAAGTCACCGGTGAGTGGCCACTGGCCGTCCGATGCGAAGGTCCCGTCTGGGGCCGTCAGAGGCTCCGGCGTTGAGCCCTCAGAGCCGCCGATATATGGCCTTAAGAAGCACTGGTTTGGGCCTTTAGGACTTCATTCAGGGGTGCCGGTTGAACTCAGAGGTGGCAGTGTGGGGCCCTCAGTTGGGCACCGGTTTGGGGCTTTCACAGCCGCCGGTGAGGGCCCTCGCAGGCGCCGTTGTGGGGGCCTTCAACCATTGGTTTATGGGGTCATCACAGGCGTGTGTGGAACCCTTAGAGCTGCTGGTCCCTGATAGGCCGGTAAGGGCCCTCAGAGGTCGCCAATGGGCCCTGAGAGGCCGGCAAGGGGCCCTCAAATGCCGACGAGGGACAATAAAAAGCCGGTGTGTGACTCTTATGGAGAGAAGTGTGGCTATTCGGAGCACATACGGTGTTCTTTCGAGCCCTGTGGGGCCCTTCTGAGTCGAAAATGCCAGCGTGGACCCTCAGCCGCCAATTGGCGTCGCAGGGCCCCTCGGGCCCGAGAGGCCCCCTGATCCGATGGGGGCACGTGCCCCCTGCTCCCCCCTCCGGGTGCAGATAGAGAATGCAATCGGCGGTGCGGGACACAACTGCAATCGTTCCTTCTCCCGTCGCGAGGTCGCCCATCCGACCCATATCCCCAGATTGTCAACCCTGGGGCTCGGGTCGGCAATGTATCGGCAAGGAAATCAGCTTTAGGTGGGTAAAAAAGTTATTAAGAGTCATTAGTTGTCGTTACGTTCAATAATAACAACGATAAAGTGCCAAATGTACCCGACATACGGCTTGGAGCCGGGCGCCGCGCTGTCTCCACCAGTGACGTCACGCTAATGCTTAGCGACCGGTCCATTGGAAATTGCGGGATGATTCTACCTCTCTTATACGGCCTTGGATCTACTGAGAGGAGGGTAATCAGCAGTAATCCATGCACCGTGCCACTCCTGCTCGAAACATGATTTGGTGTTGAAACGAATGACATCCATGAGCACCATTTTGGCTCAGTATTTAAATATTTGGCACATAAGTGAGACAAAAATATTTACAATAAGAACATACGTGTTAGTTTCATTCACGTGCTCTATTTTTATTCTTGTTTATAACATTGGACGTCTAACCCAATCATCACTATCGTTTGACATCGGCAAAAAAGCAAAAACGTCTTGCTTAATTCAACTCAAGATTGCCAGCTTGAAAATGATGGTATAGTGTTATAATTTGGCATACCAATGCGCAAAGAAATGACGCAAACTTGATGAAAATTTCGGCTCGTTATTTGCACTCGGATTTGATATATAGGCCTCCAAAGTTCGGAACGTTTTTTCTGGGCCACCCGGTATATATATATATATATATATATATATATATATATATATATATATATATATTACTCCGGTACTCTGTACTCCGGTATATATATATATATATATATATATATATATATATATATATATAATATATATATTATATAATAAAATTAATATATATATATTATTATATATATATTATATAATAAAATCATTCTTGATGAGGTGTACGACAAGCGCAGCAATGGTCTACCCCCGCTGAAACTGCCCAAAAAGATTCTCGAAAAACTTCTCCGTGCGTGCACTACTGAATGCCCATTCCGTGGTCCCGATGGAAAATTATATGTCCAAAAAGAGGGTGTGGCAATGGGTTCACCCCTGGGGCCTCTCTTTGCGAATTTTTACATGTGCTTTGTTGAAAACAAAACACTGAGCGAAGTTCGTCCGGTCCCAACAACGTACTGCAGATACGTTGATGATATTTTTGTAGAGGTACAGGACGATGAGCATTTACAAAGAGTAATAGCAGGTCTTGAAGCGAACTCTGTACTCCGGTACACTTTTGAGAAAAGTATCGACAAAACGTTAGCCTTTTTAGACGTTGGCGTTACTGTGGAGGAAAATATGTTCACAACAAGTGTTTTTCGCAAGCCTACAAACACAGGTCAGGTCATGAGTGCAAAAAGCGAGTGCCCTGATAAGTATAAAAAGAGTGTCATCAAAGCATTTGTAAGGAGGGCTATTAAGGTTTCATCTACCTATGACCTGATGCACTCTGAATTCACAAGAGTCAAACAAATCTTAGTCAACAACGGCTATTCAAATAGGGCAGTAGATGCTGAGATCAAGGCGCAACTGGAAAAACACATGGATCGTAGTGACGCAGTGGGTGCTGGCGCACAGTCAGAGACGCATCTTACATTGTTTTATCGAAACTTCATGAATACGTCCCACAAGGTTGACGAAACAGTCATTAAGCACATTGTAAAGAAAAATGTTAAGTGTGTACAAGACAACCAAAAACTACAACTGGTCATCTTTTACCAAAACATGAAAACACGTAGCCTTGTCATGAAAAACAACATCAACTCTAGCAGAGATAAGTTGAAGTGCACCAATGTAGTGTATCAATTCACATGTCCTCACGAAGATTGCAGGCTTCGTAAAGAAACCTATATTGGTGTCACTACAACTTCGCTCTCTAGAAGACTCACTATGCATTTAAGAGATGGAGCACCAAAAGAACACATGCATGAGAAACACGGCTCAGCACTTACAAGACAACACCTGACAGAGAACACCACCATCATCACATCATGTCACGATAAGCGAAAATTAGCAGTGTTAGAAGCACTACACATACATGAAAAGCGACCAACGCTTAACAAACAGGTCCAACAGTATTCCAATCTTTTACTCTGGGGAAGTGTAGCAGCATGAGAACATGGGTTAGAGCAGACAACTTACTGTGCTGCAGCGGTGCGATTTATGTGATTGTCGTCGATTGAATGTTTGTATGATGTAAGATATTTAGGAAATTAGGCTCGCGCAAACTTGCATTTTATTATTGTCATTTATGTATTGCAAACCGAAGCTTGCAAACGTAGCATCGAGCGAACCATGTTATCTTGAAAATGGATAGCGGTGTCTATTTGAAACGTCGAATTATGCATATAAATGTCACTTGGTAATCTTATCTTTGATCTGACGTCTGAGCAAAAAACACTCATAAGAACGATAGAAAAGCTTCAAAAGAAACGTGAAAAGGCAAAAAACGCGGTCATTTTTAATAAAACTTGTATTCAAGAAGATATCCTGCCGAAATATACAAATATATATATATATATATATATATATATATATATATATATATATATATATATATATATATATATATATATGTAGACGGCACAGCCGCCACTGTAGCAGCCACCACGTGGCTGAATAGCGCGGAGCGCCGAAAGACGAGCCGTTGACGAAGGACCTTTATTGCCCTTGTTACTGTGGGAGGCGCACGCACACACAGGGGTACACAGGTCAGTACCAAATCTCCCATCAGTAACCACAGTCCACACTGAATTCCGTCCGAAACAGTCGACCTTTTGATAAACTGTACATATTACGTTAACAGCGTTCTTAAATTCAACATATCGACAATGGCAGAACATAATAAACACTAGCTCCTACCGGCTGTTCCTCGTCTCCGCTGTGCGTGCCACTCGTCAACAGCGGCACCGCCGCACTCTGGGCCGTCAGGGGCCGGCCACTCAAACGCCCCGGCCACGAGACCGCTCTCGGCTCCAGCCACGGGGGAAAGCGCACAGCTATCGACTGGCCTACACGTCCCCGGGCCAACCGGAGCGAGCCGAACACCTACGAAGATTGAAACATTTTAAATGGCGCACTTGAGGTACAAGAATATATACGATATCAAAGAAATAAGCATAGAAAGCTAATTAAAGCATATACGAATTTACTGGTTTACACTGAAATAAATTACATTCAACATTGAAGTGCTCCCAAATCCTATATAGTCAAACTTACCCATCAGCGTCGCGCTGGGACACACGCATCCACCCCTCATGAAGGTCGGGCGGGAAAAGAGCGCACACGCAGCTCGGAAACTGCGCCACAGCTCGGCCAGGTCACGTGACCTGCCAGCGTGTCACTCAACAACTCGCGTCGCATCTCTTACATCGACGTGTCAACTAAACTTTAACCATAATCAAGCCATATTTTTATATAAGAAATATAATCACACATGAAATACCGCCTCCGAACCAAATATTACCGAAACGCGCTCCTTGACGATAAGAGATGCAAGTTTTACAGTAACAAACCACTCTGATCGGACAATCGAATCTCCGTCACTCAATACCGCGAGTATAATAGTGCACCTAACTTATCACTGGTGGCAAGGTTTGAAAAAGGATAGGAAAAAAAGTTAACAAGTCAAACGGATAACTGGGTTGCGGTACCCCCGCCACCCGCACCTCACTCAGGACCCGATAGCAGCGACACCTACGCCGCTATAACCCGACACGGGCGCCGTCTACACTCCCCCATTCGAATGGCCATATCTTGTCATTCGAATCAACACAAAGGCGCCCGGGTGAACCCACTCACCGTCTACCTGCTGGTGAGAACCAACCCTCGACTGCCAGGGCAGCTAGCCGAGTTTACATGGACACTTAAATCTAATCACACGTAACAGTCTGGCACCTCAAAACCTACCCGCTGGCAAAAAACAAAAAACAAACAAACCTGCTGGCAAAAACAAACAGACTAGTCTGTCGCAAACAGGTTCTAGCTCATAAAGAATCTATTTACGTTGACACCTTACACTAAATCTTAAACTAGAGGCTCTCAGACTCTCGCACACATCTGACCCCGCACAGTACTAATCCAGGTCAGATTCAGAACTGACCAATACCATCTTGTGGATCGGTCTCAGGTACGTGGACTCACCTGTCCGAACTAGAGCCTTTCTCACGAGTCCGTCCTGACTGGGGAAAGCCTTAACTACCCTTCCTAGCCGCCACAGTCCCCGCGGCACGTTCTGGTCAGCTAGGAGAACCACATCTCCCGGCTGCACATTTCTCGACTCCCGCGTCCATTTCTGGCGCGCCTGGAGAGAAAGCAGGTATTCACGTCTCCAGCGATACCAAAACTGCTGGGCTAAATACTGCACGTGTCGCCATCGACGTCTCGATAGCGAATCGGACTCTGAAAACTCTCCGGGTATCGGTCCGGCACTGCTCCTCAGAAATAGGAGATGCCCCGGGGTCAGAGGCTCCAGCTGACCGGAGCTAGTCGATACGTAAGTCAGTGGCCGGCTGTTCATAACAGACTCGATCTCGCAAAACAGCGTGCGAATCGATTCGTCATCCAGACGCTGCTGAGTAGGCATGGACCGCCATACCTTCCTGAATGTTCTGATCTGCCTCTCAACGCCACCTGCGAAGTGAGAAGCTGTGGGGGGATTGAATTGCCAGTCAATGCCCTGTTTCAGCGCGGCACGCTGCAAATCACCGTGACTGAGTTCGCTCAGCGCCTCGCGGAGCTCTCTGTCGGCCCCGGTCAGATTCGTCCCCATATCACTCCTGATCTGAACGATCTGACCCCGGCGAGCGCTGATCCTACGAATGGCGTTTATCAGCGAGTCTGTGCGCAACGAATCCAGAATCTCAACATGGACGCCTCGTGTCACGACACAGACACACATCAGACCGTAGCGTTTCCGCTCGGTCCGCCCGGTCTTAACCAAGATCGGCCCAAACACATCAAGCAGCACTGACGAGAATGCCGGTGTATCGGCTGACACGCGCTCCTTTGGCAAGTCTGCCATGAGCTGCTTCTGAGGCCGCGCGTTCACCTTCCTGCACGTTACACATCTGCGAATGAGTCCCCGAATCTCAGGACCAGCGCCTATCACCCAGAAACGTTTCCGGACCTCCCAAAAAGTATGATCGCGGCCCTCACGGCCCACCCTCTCATGAGCCTCTCGGATCAACAGCTGGGTCACGTGATTCTTACGGGGCAGAATCACTGGGTGCTTCGCGCTCTCGGAAACACTCTCCGACCGACCGAGTCGGCCTCCCACGACCAGCAGGCCGTTCAGCATCTGCGGACGCAGCTTCGTCAGAGGACTGCTCATAGGCACTCCGACTGGGCCATCGTCACACCCCTCTCTCGGAAAATCAGCCAGGTCCCTCTGGGCGTGCCGCAAAACAACACGCTCTGCCCGGCACAGATCTGACACGGTCAGGTCAGTCCTTTCACCGTGTCCGCGCCGCCTCAGGCCTCTCCTTCTCGCCAGACACCATCTGCGGAAAGAGCCGTCACGCAGGACACAGAGGAAGCGATGATACCACGCCACCGCTCGCTTGAGTCGAAAAAAGGACGAGAAACTCCTGATCAGTAGATCGAAAGGGCTCTCGGGACCGGCGGCAAGCGACACCAGGGCTACAGGCGAAGACTTTACCTCGGAAACGGGAACCGACACAGATACTGCCGGTTCCTCCGGCCATCCGCCGGCGCTCCCGAGAAGAAACTCTGGCCCTCCCAGCCACGGCTTCAGTCCCGCCGGCTGACAGCCACGAGATCCAACATCAGCCGGGTTCACTGTCGAAGGCACATACGCCCAGTCACTCACTTTGGAGCCGTCATGGATGTACGCCAACCGGTTTGCCACAAAAGTCTTAAATCTCGTTGTCCGGTTCCTGACGTAGGCCAGTACTACCATACTGTCAGTCCACATGTGGAAAGAGTCGAATTGGGTGTCTAGCTCTCTCTCAAGCACCCGTCTCACCCTCACGGCCAGCACTGCGGCGGCTAGCTCGAGCCGCGGCACAGACACGAACCGCACGGGATTCACAAGCGACTTACCCAAGAGAAACGTCACAAAACACCGGACCTCCCCGTCCGGAGTACGAACCTCCCTTCTCAGGTATGCCACTGCAGAGTACGCAGTCTCGCTAGCGTCAGCGAAGACGTGTAGCTGAGTGCTTAACACCTCTCCAGGCAGGCCCACGATACACCTCTCCAGCTGAACACTGTCCAGCTCCCTGGCACCGGCCAGCCACTCCTCCCACTCCCCCGTCAAGGCATCAGACAGAGGCTCGTCCCACCCACAGGAAACCGCACACAGCCTCTGCAGCAGCACTCGACCGAGCAGGGTCACTGGCGACACGATACCGAGAGGGTCAAACACCGAACTTACGGTGGATAGTATGCCGCGCCTCGTCACCGGCTTGTGCCGGTCGTTGAACTGGAAAACAAAAGAGTCCTTCTCGACAGACCACTTCAGTCCAAGCGCACGCTCAGAGTAGAGGTCTGCACCGGCCGGCTGCAGCCGCGGCTGGCTGCAGCCCCACGGCTGTGGGCCGGGACGGCTGCAAATATCTCCAAGAACACGGCTACGGCTGTGGCCACGGCTGTGAGATTTCAAGCTCAATCTTAAGTAATCAAATATAAAATTTTAAATCCTTAATCTTACATTCTGATAAGCAGTCTAGCCTGTAAAAATCATGCAAAGGATGCCCAGCAACATTGAAAGTGGTGAAGCCTTTGAAAACCTGTAATGGTTTTACCATTTGCTGTAGGGGAGTTTGCACTCTGGTACAGAATAGTAATTATAGGTACCAATTGTTCCTTCATCATCCAGAGCTTGACAGTTTCAGAAAATGCAGCATGTTGCATTGTCACATCCCTCTCAAATCAATCTCACCTGGTCATTAGGAGAGCACCTTACAGCTATTGAAGATGAAGACGAGCGTTCAATAATTCTTTCAGGTAATAGAAAAAGAAATCTAAAGGCTTCATAAAATATTATCTGAAATAACTCTTAGACGTATTTCTGGATTTTCGGCAAGTCCAATTACATAATATAAAACTGGCGCTTTATGTTCTAACTGGTGTGTGAGTGACCGCTAACAGAAAATGCTGATTAAGGAAGCTAATGGAATTAGATTATAAGTGAGCATGAACTTTACTTACGGTTAATTCACATGATGGTGAAAACCCTGAACACGTAATTCACATGACGGTGAAACCCTGAGTGCTGTTCACGGGCACCTGCGGTAGCTGCGGTAGCTGCGGCTCGGCGGTCAGCCGGGTAATGACGTCACAGAAAGTGGGGATGGGGCGGGTGGTGTGACGTCATACGGCTGCGGCCGGCTGCGGTCGCCTGCGTCTCCTGCGGTCGAAACGATCCGACCGCAGCGGCCGCAGGAGCCATTTGTCATGCAAAGTGGCGCGGCAGTTGCGCATTCGTGTAACTTGGGCGGAAAATTGACACGGCCGCCTCAGACGAACGCGTGATGACGTGCGCACAAGTGGGCGGGACTTACAGCCTGCGATCTACCGCAGCTACCGCAGTTACCGCAGGTGCCCGTGAACAGCACTCTGAACACAATATTTCTTACGCGAGCTGTTGACTTTACTAATAAAATGACGTCTTCTTCTGAAAATGTAAAAATTTGATGCTTAATCTTTGTTTGAGAGCACGTGTTTAACTGTATAGCATTATCATTTATAAATTATAATATTTTTGGCTGTTTATAGTGACACAAAACAATTTATTGCCACTTCTTTGCTATTGACGTCATTAAAAACTCAAGTAAAATTTTTGATTGAAAGAGGCAATTGTGGCTCGCACGGCCTTGGGGATTTGAGCGAAGATCATTATTTGGAAAAATCAAAATAGATGAATGTTTTTCTTTCTTGGATGCTCACTAGTGTTTTGATGCCTTGCATATCAAATTAGTTTGAGACTGGCTCAGAAGGCTGCTTCAAGCCTGGCATATCACACCCCAGAAAATATGCAAGGTAAGAAAGAAGCAAGAGTTTTGACTAGACAATCACTGTTTGACAGTCCATCAACTTCAGTATCATTTTCCATATAACATTGATAATGAAAAGCATCAGGGTCTGTTGTTCTGTCCCACAACCATGCTTCAGGATTTGGCATTAGATGTCTACATTGCTAGTGCTTCTATTCTGGTTCGTTGTTTATGTTTTCTGTTGATGTAGGTACCTACCTACCCATCTTTCTTAACCCCTTGCAAGGGCTTGTGTAAGCATGCGTTGCGCATCAGGCTTCAGGCCTTCGGCCTAAAGCCAGATACACAACCACTTAACCTATGACGCTTCATGAGCTTGAGAATCTATAGCCCATTGCAATGTGCTTTTGGCTATATGTTTCAACTAAAAACAACTTATTATATACTTTTTGGTTGCATTTCATTGAAAGTATCCACGGCCGGCTGACGGCTGGCTGCCCACAGTTTGCCACGGCTGTGGGCGGCTGTGGCTGTGGAGCCATGGCTGCGGAGCGGCTAGGCTGTGGAAAATTGCAGCCGTGCGGAACTCTAGCTCAGAGCCCAGAGCGTCCTTATCTAAATCCACTGCCTTAACCTGCTTACCTCTGTCTTCAAACGGAATCTGTTTCAGAAACTCTGACCGGTTGCTGGTGAACTTAGTCATGTTGAATGCACCGGTCCTGCAGAGATCTTTCAGGTCACGTGCCAGCTTCACAGCCTCCTCCACGGAGTCAGCAGCACATAGAGCGTCATCTACATACGTCTTACGAAGTAGAGCATCAGCGGCCTCAGGAAACTGCTCGCGACCCTCCTCTGCGCAGCGGCTCAGCGCGAAGCTGGCCACACTGCCACTTGACACCGCTCCGAAGACGTGCGACCTCATCCTCAGCACCTGCACGTCACCCTCTGGGTCGTCATCATGGAACCACAGGAATCTCAGCAGATCAGCATCTGCTTCCGGCACACGCACTCGATGATACATAGACTGGACGTCACATGTGAACGCGACACGCCCCTCCCGGAAGCGACAGAGCACCCCGAGAAGCGGATTTGTCAGGTTCGGACCCCCTCTCAGTAAGTCATTTAAACACACGCCACGGCTCCGGGCCGCGCAGTCAAAAACCACGCGCAGTTTTCCCTTCGCGGGCTCCTGCACGCCGTGGTGAGGGAGGTACCAGACCGGCCCTTCTCCAACCTCACCGTCTGGCACTGGAGCTGCGTAGCCGTCATCAACCAGTGACGAAATGACTCGTCGGTACGCGTCAAAATAGTCGGAATCAGACCTGAAGCGCCTCCGAAGAGAATCCAATCTCCTGGACGCCATCGGAAAGCTGTCCGGCAACTGGTCGAAATCCTTCTTAGGAAGTGGAATCACGAAGTGCCCCTCCTCGTCTCTCTTGACCTGTGGGAGCAAGTCAGACAGCCACTCCCTGTCCTCCACGGAAAGGCACTCCTTGTCGTCGGAAAGATCCTTAAACTCATGTTCATACATGACCTTAAAGACGCACTCTGAGTCACGGTCAGGGACACAGCTGTCGTGAACCCGCAGCAGGTTGACAGACATCCTACCTCTTGTCGCCGGGGAACCACCACAACCAATTACATACCAGCCAAGACACGTCCTCACACCACAGAGGCCCTCCTCACCGGAAGGCGGAGACCTCACCTCTCTGGGAACAATCAGAGTAGCGCAGTTGGAGCCGAGCAGCAACTCCACTGGGGCATCCACCTCATGGAGCTCCACACCCTGCAGGTGGGCAGCGGCTCTGAGCTCACTCACCCGGCACCGATCGGACTGTGTCACAGGGATCCTGTCGATAGTCAGGAGCGGCGGCAGGGGAAGGAACTCTGCTCCGTCCAGACCGCAGACCTCCAACCCAGAGGCCAGCGAGGTCTGCATCACCCTCCGCTCGTTCCCAACCGTCTCGATGGAGATGGAAGTGTCATCCCTTCTCACCTTCAAACGCCGCGCCAGCGACTCAGTCAAGAAACTACCTGACGAGCCAGAGTCCAAGAACCCATTCACCACCACCTCCAGCCCCGTGGGACCCCGGAGGCGCACAGCAACCACTGGCAGCGCCGTCCGGCCCGCGCCGCGGATACCCAAGCTCGCACTTAAAACACCACCACTCATCTGCGCCCCAGGTGGGTCACCAGCTGCTCCCATCCCGCCGGTCAAGGGTCCCGCGCGCAAAGAATCAGACCCCCTGCCGGGCGGCTGAGCCGCACGCTGCTGCTCGATGGGGGCAGAGACTGAGCTCGGCTCCCTGTGCATCGCCAAGGGATGGGGCCCATTGCAGACACCACACCGGAGCGGCTTTCTACAAGACCGAGCCCTGTGTCCCCTCCTCAGGCAGCCAAAACACAGCTGATTTTTCATCAACACCCGTCGTCTCTCCTCCCAAGGTCTACGAAGCAGATCCTTACAGCCCTCCAGACGGTGCGCCGCCCCGCAGAAAACACACTTCTGCACCCCGGGCTCGCTCACCTTCGCTGTGCTCACCTTATGCCGCGCTCCAGCCTCACCACCGCGTCCGGAAATGACAGGCCTTGGACCGAAAAGAGGACTCCTCCTCACTCGCACCTCTGCTGCGACGAAGCTAACCATGTCTGAGAAAGTAATCCTCTTACCACTCTCAGACAATCTGTCGGCCTCTCGGAGCCACCGGTCCTGCAGATACACTGGAAGCTTAGACGCGATCAAGCGGAGGGTAGACGGGTGCTCGAACTCGCCCATGGTGGCGCCAGACATCGCGTTTTTTACCTCAGTTAGGAACAGAGCATATCTGTCAAGCCCCTCAACATCCCCAGACTGCAGGCGCGACCACTGTTCGATCCGCTCCACGTACGAATCGATCAGTCTGAGAGAATTTCCATATCGAGACTCGAGAAGTTTCACAGCCTGGCTGTAGCCCTCATCACCCAAGTGGAGGCAACTCCTGACTAGCTGATTAGCTTTCCCGCGGGTATACTGCTCGAGGTAATACAGCAGTTCCCCCTGGTCGTCCGTTCGGCTAGCAATCCTGGACTGGAACGCTCTGATGAAGAGCCTAAACTCCTCAACCGCTCCCGAGAACGGACGGAGCTCGGCAGGAGGG